CATGTCCTTAGGTGCTCATGAAAGCAGGGCTGCCAGCTAGGGACACTTGCAGTGATACACTTAGAGTGCAACTGTCTCCTTTACACTCTAATCTTAATAATAACCCTAACCTTGATTTTAACACCATAACACCTTCTTCTCAGTTCTCTTCATTCCCCAGGAGCTAGCATTGTGACCCCTGGAAAATGACCTGAGCCATGCCCTGTGTCGAGCTCGAGTCCCCACTTGTCCAGAAGCCTCATCTTGTGTTTATGAGCGCTGTGGATGGTAGAGGATACTAGGGTACAAGGATACTAGGTACATTTACACAATCATCTCTTCCAGGAACTGTGCTGAGGAGAACACACGTACAAAATACAAAGCTCTAAGGTGTAAGCACAGGTTGTGTGACTGCCTACATGGGCACCTGACCCGGTGGCCAGGAGCAACACTTCCTTTAAAATCTCACACCAGCTGCAGTTTTTCCCACAAGGGTGGCCCCTCTACTCCCGGAGAGTATGCTTTCAATATGTAAAAAGATATTACCTGTGTATCCTTTTGCTGAGATATAAATTCTGCCCAGAGATTTTCTTTATGAAAATCTAAGGAACATTTCTCAGTTCATTGATCGGAAAAGATGATTTTGAATTACTTCCATTCATGACACAGAAGGAAAGCATTTTTTTTTCAGTCTCTAAAAATGGAGGCTCAAGGAAGTATAGGATCCAGAATAAGAAGATTCAAGATTTAGACGCTGCCTTGAACATTTTATCAAGATCCTCAAGTCTGTGATGTTACAATCTGGACTATATTCTTGCTGGCAAGGATTCATGGGATTGTCTTGCATTGAAAAAAGTATTTTTAAAAAGCAATGAGAAAAATATGTAAATGAAATGCTGCTGCACACACACTCCTCATTTTGAATTTGCCACTGAATGGACATGAGTCTTGTGTTCTTCCCACTAACTGGAAAATAAGCCAAAAGACTGTCTCTCAAAGGTTACTAAAATCTGGGAGCTTTGTAAAGGACAGAGATAAGGTATAAAGAAGAAAATATACAAAGAACCCAGAAGTGGGAGATATGCTGATTAAAGGAGGAAACATAAGGAAAGTGTAGTTATGGCTAAAGAAATGAAATGGATCGAAGATGTTTGTGTTTGTTTTTAATGACAGGTGAGTTGCTCCCTCTAGCAGATCCAGAATGAAGATTGCTTACAAACCAGGTAGGAATGAAGTCGTAGTTGTAGAGGGTACTCTGGTCATGCTGACATGGCCCTGGGTAATGAAAGCACACTCAGGAAAGGGTTGATGTGCATTTGTGGCAAGGAGGGAGAACACCTCGTCTGAAACCGAATCAGGGAAGCCAGAGATGGGGTTACTTCAGCCTGGCCCCTGCCACATGGGGGAGGACCTGTGTTATGTTATGTGCTCTGGAAGAATTTATACATCCTCAAGTTACCACAGCTGACTGAAAGGAACGTATAGGAAACAAGGTGCTTAGAGATGGATTCCGTGTAATCCCTGTTGATATTCAGACAAGAGTGGGCTTTGGGAGCCAAGCCTGAGGAGAAAGCAAAAAAAAGCTCTGGGCTTTCCCAACCCCCAGTGAGTCTCTGCAGTTATATTTTCACAGAAACTAAAATTTTATCTGAATTTAACAGGGTTTTCCTAATGTTTCAAATATTATTCATGGAAGGTACTTATTATATTCATTATCGTCAAAGATCTTGGATAGTAGCTAGCACCTTCAATTTAGTGTATGCTTAATGAATAATTACTGAGTGAATGAATCAAGCATATTCTCAAACGAGGAATGTATCTTACATCAATTAAATTAGGAGTCAATAATGTGCAAGATATAGCCTAGATTCTCTTTATTACAGCCATTTGGCAAATTGAGGACGTGCTCGAGCAATTTGAACCTCCCTCTGAGGTAAGTTGAATAACTATCAAGATAGATCTTGGCAGCTCTCTCCTAGGGTCCCCAGGGCAAACTAAGCATTTTAAGAGGACACTGGACATTATCCTAGTGGCCAGGGAGATAACCCACTTCCAGGTGTGGGAGAGGAAGCATGGTCCCGCCTATTGCAACCAGTGAATTCTGTACTGTGGTCTAGAACTGGTGCTGATGGCATGAGGGACAAGTAGTGTGCAGTCTGGGTCCTTTTTACTTGGTTCAAATTCCAGTTTTCTATTCCAGAGGAAGTAGAAAAATCTTTTGCTGCCTCCTGTGGTAGGGAAGAACTAAAATTCATGTGAAAGAGAGGCTTGGTATAGGCTGGGGTAGGGACTATGAGCCAAGAGTGAAGGGGCAGGCAGGGGTCTAGCAGATCTCAGAGCAGTAGCTTGTAGCTTGAGCTTAGCTGATGGGAAAGTATTTGACCTTGGGGACATCTGGCAACTCAACTCACTTACTTGACAATAATAAGAGCCTTAGGATCAGAGGCAGCTAACTCTGAATAGAAAAGGCAGCATTCTGCCACCCCGGTGTTGAGGCTGAAGTACGGGTCCTGGAGCACCAGGCCTCCAAGCTTCTGGGGAACATATTGATCAACATTTTCAATTGTTGCCTCAATGGCATAGTACCTGTTTTGACCGAATTCCAGACCGACAAATCTTCCATTTTGGCTGCTCTGGAGCTCATAGATATAACTATACATGCAAAGTCATATGTTCAGAATGGGCTCCTAATTCTACTTGAAAACATTTTTACATGTCCCTTCTTGTTTTCATTCTCCATTGCATTTTTTTTTTTTTTTTTACCTCAGAGACAAGTTCCTATTCACAAGTGATAATCATCTAGCAGCTCCCATCTCTACAGCACCTTTATATGAATACGTTGGACATCCTAATCTTTAATAATCTCAATAACCTGTATAAGCTATGTATTATTATCCCTGTTTTATAGACAAGAGCTCAGTGAGGTGACTGCATGTGTTCTGGCTGCTACATACATCAAGCTGCTTCTCAATATAGAGTGCTTTACAGTTTAGAACGTGCTTTCACATACATTATATAGTTCTCCAATTGTGAATTAAATGTGATGGTTGCCTCCATTTTACAGAAGACAACCCTGAACTGTAGATAGGTGATGTGACAGTACATCACTTATGGGCAGCTGAGCTGGGATTCAAACCTGTGTCTTATTCTACATGCCATGCTTATCCAACAGTATGGTGGAAAGAAAATTGAGGCTCTCAGACATAAATGCCCTCAAATTTCTTTATATCCACCTGAAAGTCTATCTTTCTGTAACCTCTCCCCTCCTCAATCTCAGGTAGCTGATTCTATTCCGTGTTCCTAAAAATTCTCTCAATTGTCCATGAATAATCTTATCTATTCCCATTTCTTCACATTTTAAGTCTCTGCAGATGACTGTCAAATCCTTCTCTAAGCTCTAATTGTTTCCAATCACAGAATAAGGGTATATATTTTTAGTAATCTACCTTTATATATGCCACGAACCGCTCCCCGACCCCCTCAGTTCTCTACAACTAATTATGTTTGCTATGCTTTTCTTGAACAGTCCATATACTACTTCCATATCTCCATACTTTTGCTTATATTAATTTTAAATGTTGTCCTTTTCTCTATTTGTAGAAATTCTATTCATCTTTAAGAATGAGCTCAAATGTTATACCTGCTATATATATATATCCCCAACTCTTCTGGTCAGATTAAATGGTATATTCTCTGTGTTCCCAAAGCACTTTGCTTATAAAGATAACATATCACCTATCACATGAGAAAATTATTTGTCTCCTTTTCTGTTTCAACATATGGACTATCAGTACAGTGAAGATGAGAAGTGAATTTTATTTATTTCTACACACCTTGAAACAATAAGCATGGCCCTTGACTAAGTATTGAATGAATGAATGAATGGTCATTCAGTTACTGCTCCGTTTTTTCAGTATGCCCCAATGAGAGCATGATCTAATTTGGGGGTTATTTTTTTCTCATCCTAAATCTTCACTATTATCCTGGGAATTTGTTTTGCCTTGTAAAAATATTGAGTCTTAAATTAAAAAAAACTCTGCTGTATGAAATTATGGGAAAAGAAAGAGAATAATACAGTTTTTCTTGTAAAAGTAAATACACTGTATCATCTAGGTGATCAGTGTTAAAGATAAGCACCCAAAAATTTAAAATTTATATTTGTAAATTTTAAAAATAAGATAATAGAAATTGATCTATTAATAAATGCATATGTTCACATGTAACACAACAGTAAACTTTGTTAGATTGGAATAATGAGTTTGGGGAGGTAGGGAGGAAAAGGGAGAAGCTAGCTTAAGCTATAAAAGTCAGAATTTATTGAAAGCAATGCAGTTTTATTATTTTCAATACTATGATATACCAATAAAGTCTGTCTAAGGCGACATCAACTTAATGTCACGGATCCTTATTTTATAGCTGAATCTTTTTGCCTAAAGACTGTTGTATATGCTAAAGCCATAAAAACAATTATTCTCTTTATAAAAGTTACAGGTGTTCCCGCTACTTCTCTTATCAAATCAATTCTTTGCAGATAATATAAAGAAAGGTAAATTTCACCCTATTCTGGGTCAAATTGTCAATAATTGTATATTAGCAATACCTGAATTAGTAAGGTTTTACCGAATTCTTAGAGGATGACATTTCTGGAAAATAAAGTCCAATGCCTCAGGGAAGTGCTAATTAAATGCTTTTAAAAAGAAAAATAGGAAAAATGTAAACTGTTTCAAATAAGATGAATATTAATTATTCATCAAGCTGGATATAACTAAAATCTCTCATCAAAGTCTTTGGTTTCCTTTGTGAATTTCATGAGGGCAAGGATCATGGCTTGTTTGCCTCTCTCCCTCACCCTCCAAGACTTTACACCCCAACAATACCACTTAGGCTGTGATTTCTGATAACAGTTATCATTATAAGGACAGGTGTTTAAAAGTGATGCTATGTGGTTTTCAGATATTCTAGTTGTTGCTCTGCTTATCTATCACTATTCAAGACTCAAACATTACAGAGAATTTACTCACTGATTCTGGGTACAGGCTGCAAGTAATTTACTGACCCCTATTCTAGAAGAGAAAGAAAATTGTTATATTAGCATCACATCCAAAGACATGTAAAAAACTTTCTACATAAAGGTGTCTCACAGCTTCTAATATTTTATTTCTAGCAAAGAAAATCACGGGGAGGGAGAGGTTTGTAAAATAGAATATGTCATCTCCTGTGGGCTAATGAAGAGGTGAGGACTTGATATCACTTATTAGGAAACCTTCAAACTTTGCCATAAGAAAGACTGAGATGATTTGTGCCTGTTTCCTCTGAGTCAGAGAAATGAAGCAGGGACCTGATGTGAGGAAGAAAATTTCCCAGGATTCTCTGCAATTGACTCCATAATATATCTATGTGTTAATATACAATTATATTTTCCTCTTAGAATCTTTGAGTACCTAAGACAGATCTTTGGGTAAAACTGATACTTAAGATAGATACACATGGTATCTCCTTGCATTGAGTATCCTGTGGCCCTACTGTTAAATATCTCAGTTTGAGAAGCTTAGAAGAGTAAATTAACTGAATTCTAGGGTTAAAGAAAAAAGATTTTTGAGGGAAGACATCCATGAATATTTAAAGCATTCAGGACTAATGGTAGTTTATTCTATAATGAAGAGCCTTAAGAAAGAAATCTTGGGATTCTCCTTAAACCAATGATTTTCCATCTTTATAATCAAGACCTGTTTCTGTCAGATGATAGACTATGTTTCTCAATGTAACATAGTGTATTTCTTCTTTTTCAGTCATCTACGGAGAGAAGAAAGCCTCAGCTCATTCTGAGAACAATTCTAGGGAACCGCCAGATGGTAATTATATGATTAGCCTTTTGCTTTCTAGATTATACAGCTCCAATTCTTTTCTTAAATAACATTATGAATATATAATATATAAAATTATATTATACACTATACCACATATTTCTTATAATATATAAGTTAAATATATTGTATATTGTATTTATGCTAAAATTTGTTAATATTATATTTGATATTATTCGATATATTCAATATTACATGTATATGTAATGTTTTGCTCTATGTATTCTGTCTTTTAAAAAAATAACTTTTTCAAAGTATGTTAATTAAAAACTTGAACAATTACTTAACGATGAGGCTTAAGCAATGGTAAGATTAATTCTGTCTTGCTATTTTGCTCCATTTAAATAACCTACTATCAATGAGATTCATTTATAATATTGCCTTTTCTAGCTCTAATTGAGACAAAGATTCTATTGGCTCTTGTTTTTTAAATTAATCTTTCTCCAAACTTCATTTGTGCTGAAACATACTAGTTTATACTTATGTCAATTAAATGCTATTCTCTCTTTAGAATGATTTAAAAAATATATCCAAGGACATTTGAATTGTATTGCCATGAGTTTCCTTGTATAAGGTATTAGCAGCTTCACTTGATTTAGTAAATTCTGCATTTTGAATGGTGTTTATAAGTCATTTGAATAGCTCATCAATAAGTCCTAGAGTATAACTGATCCCCATGGGTTGGAATTTGATATGTAATCCACTGCTTCAACCTACTCTGATGTAATTGCAACTCTATATTTACTTGTCCACCCATGTAACAGTAGCACGATTAAGGTCACACTTTCACGGGTTGGTAATAAGAATATTGTTTAGGCTAGAATCCAAAATCTTCCTCCCTACAAAACTGATTTTATCCAGCATGCTCTCATTGTTTATGTAATCTGACACATAACCATAGAAGGAAATTAAATTGATGTGGAAAAAATAGCTATTCAAAAAGTCAAAAGCGGCTGCTTTCTTATCTCAGGATATTCTGGTAAGTTGCTTATTGATTGCATGAGGAATTGTTATCATCAGGTATTGCTTTTAAGCTTTCTGGCTTATAATGTTCATGACATTTCCTTAAAAAATGTGGGCACGACAAGCTCTTTCCCCATCTCCATGATTGCTCAAATATAAAAACTGTGCAAGGTCATCTACCAATTTCTTTTTTCTTTTTTTTACTTATTGTGGTAAAAAACACAAACATGACATCCATCCTCCTAACAAATTTTTATATTACATACAGTATTGTTAACCATAAGTACAATGTTGTATAACAGCTCTCTAGAACTTTTTCATCTTGCATGACTGAAACTCTATATCTATCAAACAGCAATTGCCCATTACTCCCTCCCCAGCCTCTGGAAATTTGCCATCTGCCAATTTCTTAAAGGTTCAGGAAACCTGACATTAAGGGCATAATAATAAGAGTACATTCAGACTGAATACTCTTCCCTGGTCTAGTTTGGCTCTCCACACATCACAGAGTGAAGTATATTAGTTAGATGAATGCATGTCTCTTACACTTATAGTAAACTTGTTCTATACAGAAGTGATCCAGTCTTACTCCTCTTTACAATTTCCCCAAACCTAGGTTAGTGTCAGGTATAAATATGTACTGAATTAAATTTTAATATTTCTTTTCAAGGGTTGACAATAATTAATATTGATTTCAAGAATCTGATAAAAAGACAGGAAAGTTAATACCATTTATTTTTGAATTTATGAATTGTCTCCTAAAAAGAACCATAATCTCTCACTTCCCAATAATAGTAATTGCATGGCTAGCTCTTAGCTCTTTAAAGGTTTTGACTATATCTTCTAAATCATTGCTATTCCCAAATATTTTTTAATGTAATGACTACTTAGGATTTGGGCTCAGTTGACATAATCGATAGAGATGGACTTCCTTGATACATAATCAAGTATTAAATAACTATGAATATACTTTCATGGTCAACTGTGAAAATAATTTGAAATGTCAGCTTTTGGACTGGCTTCACATAATAGAAATTCATTGGGTTTGGCCAGACCCCTTAAAATAAATAAGAGTTTAAATCTCATATCTAGTGTACATGTTCCAATATTGTGCTTACAAGATTGAATATGGCATTAAAGGCTTAATTTAGTGACACAGACAATCTACTGAAACAGGATTTTTCCTCTTCATCACATTATTCTGAGTCATTTTTGTTTTCGGTGGTAAAGCACATTTCACCTTTTGAAACTTGACATAAGCACAATACTAACTGAATAGGCCTAGAGCTTTAATGGGAAATCATTATTTAAAAAAATAGATTTTCACTGATTCTTTTCTGAGGGGTTGAGAGCTCCATGCAGCATGAACAACACACTGAACCAGGCAGAACTCACACTCAAGTGAGAGAACACAAATATGACGATAATATACTTTTCTGAAAGTAATTCTGGCCACATGATAAATTAAATTGTTTATCATCATCCTTATTTAACAGAGAACATAACAATAGAAAAGGTTAGACAGTTTCCTAAGGCCATGTGGCAATTTGTTGTTAAAATTGAAATAGGGTTACATTTCATGAATTGATCAGTTTTTTTTACCCCAGCTAAACCTTTTAGAAATGTGGTTATCAATACCCTCTTAATTTTACATACACGTATTCTGGTGCAAAAATAATTATTACAGTGCAAGTTTAGGTCTTTTGCTGTCTAATGTTTGGTTGTTGGATTTAAAAGTTTATCCCAATATTTTCTTTCGAAATATTGATTTGGTTTAACCTTACCTTCTTTTCTCTTTTCTTCTGAAATTATTTGGATGCACAATATTAAATCAATAATAACCTCAAAAACAGTTCACATGTACTGAATCTTTATTAAATATCAGACATGCTGCTGAGCACTTTATGGGGACCTTATCTAATTTAATAATAGAAGAAATCCATGGGAATACTGGATTTCTTCATGTGAAATATACTACATGTTTCTAGTTCTGAACTTCTTTACATAAACTGCACCCATAATCGTCATTTATATTTCCTAGTTTTAGTTCCATTAAAGTGGACTGAGAACTTAAAGACACAAAGCAGAATTCTTTTAGATTTGAGTTTTTCCCTAATATTTTACCATTATGCTTTCACACCTAATTCTGTAGCATTTTATTTTTAGTAACTCAACTTTGAGTCTTTCCAACATGTTATCATAGAAATACCAATTATTTATGCATCCATATGTCATTGGTTTACATAATTTGTAATTGAATTGAATAATTATATGAACAAGTACAACTGGCACAGCAAATATGGGAACAAACACGCTGACTCTGGGTCCATATACATCCCCACAAATCGGGTCAGAAGTTAACAGGTTGGGTAGAGGGATAGCAGGTGAGGCCTTGGTGGTGAGCCAGCTGTGAACATCATCAGTCAGTAAGTTAGATCTAGGGAAGGGAGAGAGTTGTTTAGTCAGGGAAATCATTTAAGAGGAGGTCAGTTAAAAGAACTTCCGTTGTACTTGTACTTTGCATAGGCATTACTTTGATAATTTAATTGTGTATTCATTACTTTGATAAAATCAAAATAACTTTTTTTTTTTTTTTTTAAATGGAGGGAAAGGAAGGAAAGACTGAGTTTAGGTATCTTGCCCGAGATTACAAAAGTAAAAGTGAGACTAGGGTTTGGCTCCAGAATCCCACTTTCAAATCTGGCAGCCCAGTAGTCTTGCCCTCCATCCCATGAGCCTCAGGACAGATTAAAGCAGAGGACTGGGTGGGCTGCCACCACCCAGAAAGGAGACTTAACACAGCTCAAGAGCGTTCAGCAAGAGAGCACAGTAACATAAGAGAGAAGAAGCCAGGAGATGAAGAAATAGTCTTAGAAATTTGCAAAAGAACCCTGTAATTGTGTGTGTGTGTGTGTGTGTGTGTGTGTGTGTGTGTGTGTGTGTGTGTGTGTGTGTGTGTTTAAGTTAACCCAAGTATTTCTTGCCCTTGGGCCTCACTGGTTCAAAACAAAAGGGGTTTCAGCAAACAGGTTTGGCCAACCGATACTCCAACTATTTTCAGAATCTGTTTTTGCAACTCTGAAATTAAAGGAACTCTGAAAGTGCATCACGCCTCCCCAGCAAACAATAAATATCACAGAAGAATCTCTGACCCAATGGTCCCATGGGAGCCAGGCATGAGAGCAAGCTTAGTGGAAATCTGTGATGACAAATAGCAATTAAAATGAAGTCATTTAAATTTCACCATCTACTTCCTTCTAACTCTTGGGTTTTACAGGTTCTATTTCTGTCAAGTTCTTCTTTGAGTAAGACTATTTAAGCACCAGTTTGGAAGAACTTCCTAGCCTCCTAGAAGAGATGATTTTATAGTAGCTGCTTTAAAATGTCTCAGAATGGATTATTATATTTTCCAATTAGGTATTAATGATTTCAGTTTATGTTAAATGCTTTATAGGTTTCCGTTCTTGGCATTTTCCAAATTATTTCCTTCAAGAAGAAAATTAGAAAGGTGTTAAGATTTCTATGACTTCACAAGGAATTCATAAAAAGGTGAAGATCTTAAATGACTATTCTTTCAATAAAATTAAGTTAAATTGTGAAAAATGTTCATATATGGGACATCACTTTCATATACTTTCAAAAATAGCTATTTTGATTTTAACTGATCTGATTTAAAAAATTATTATTGCAATCATTTGGCTATAAACATGATTGAGATTTAAAGCCTCCTTCACATAAAACAGTACCTTGTTTCAATATACTTTCAGAAGCAATATTATAAACAATGGATTAATTATTTAATTAAATGCATACAAAGGTAAGAAACTTATGAGTAAACTGCTTATTTCATTTTCTAAAGGCTGCAAAATTATTTAATCAACTAAAAGAAAATATACACGAAGAAGAGAGAAACAGGTGAGATCCAGTGTATTTGTATTGAGTTGCTTTTCACAGAGGTGTGCTCTAGTTGACACAGCTTCTGTGCTCTTTCATGCTCCCTGTGCAGAGAGATCCAGCACATTAGAGTATGCTTTGTGTAAAATAGAGTACAAATCGAACCATATCCGGTGAGGTAGTGAGAGGCAGGACCAGCCCAAACAACAGTGCTGAAAAGGGGCAGGTCTGATTCTACAGTTATCTCAGCTTCACTGAGCCTTAATTCTCTCACCTGCAAAATGTCTTAATGTCTGTTTAGCTCTGAGATCTAGGAAATGAGGCAAAAAAATAAAGTAGGTCTTCATTACTATGCAGTCACCATGTTTTTCCTATTTATATTGTAAGCAATCTCCCCCGCCCCCATAAGTACGGTCATGTGTCACCTCTTCGCTCCTCACAGCTGTTCCCGTGGACTTACATGCTGATATATTACCCTGCCTTCTTCTTGCCATACCATTTCTTCAGAAATTTCATCCTCTCTCATTTCAACTCTCACCTATACAGTCTCCAATATACACACATCCTTAGCTTTGACCTCTCCTGAACTTCAATTCTGGATTCCAAATTCTAGCTTCTACATGGGAGTCCTATTATTAGATCAAATGCAACTAGACTTGAATGAAACCTGTAATCCTTTTCCCCAACCTGTCCCTCTGAACTTGCTCGTGTGTATCTATTACATAGACTTCTTCTTGCCAGTCAGGCTTCCAACTTGACATCCCTCCATGTCCTCCCTGCGCCTGTTTCCAGACAGTCACTTTTTCCTCCTTTCTTTCTGTCTCATACTCATTCTTCTTTTTTTAATTCCTCCACCCCCATCATTCCTGCCATGGTCATTAGCACATCCAAGCCTAGATTGTTGTAATTGTTTCCAAAACGGCCTCCCTGATTTCAGTCTCCATCATGATGTTAATTTACCAAACTGATTGTTTAAAAAATTGCTTTGCTCATGCTAATCTCCTCAAACCCTCTATTTCTTCTCACTGTTACAAGGTCCTTTCTAACTCTGCATTCTGCGCTCCCTAAAATATGATCCCTGTGTACCTGAGTAACTCAGAAACTTCCTATACAAATTCTAAAAGTTTTCTAAATAGGCCACATCTATTTTTAGTCCCAAGCTTGAAATAGCTGACTCCCTTCCCTCTGTTTGAAGAAGTCCTCTTCCTTCTTCAAGATTTAACCTTGATCTTTCCACATTCAGAGCGGTTGTCTTCTGAACTATAGCTGTTACTGTTCGTTTGGGAGGCAGGCAAAGTCCAGGAGCAAACAGCATGCCAGGCTGAGCCCCTCACATATATTAACTCATTTGTTCCTTAACCATATCAGGTAAATACTATCACTATGCCTCTTTACAGGTGAGAGTGTGACTCAGAGAGGTTATTTGTTTAGGTCTCCAAGTTGACAAGTGCTGGATCCAAACCCAGGTGGTCTGACCATAGAGTCCT